TTGTATTTGTCTTCACAGAATCCATCTCTTGCTCAAGTAAAAATTGAAGAAGCTAAAAGAGAACTGGTATGTCTTTGTATCTCTGAGTTACCTGAGGTGCCTAACCTGCTAAAGCTGTTTCTATTTTTTTACTATTTCATGGGAAATTATATTTAATAACAAAAAGTACAAGTCATAAATACAAAGACCATTGAGAGGAATTCAGCTTCTGTGTGTCATGTTGTTGACACCAATAGAGTTCAGCTAATCCACATCTTTTGGATCTTAGTTTATCTTTTTCTAATTTAAGAGATACTGCTTCAAAGTAACACACAAAAGATTATATAGCATGTACGTAATGGCAAATAACATGCAAAAATTAATTTCTTGTTGTGAGTAAAGTATTTGACCACGTTTTCCTTAGTTTCCAACCCTAACCCTGGAGAGCTCTTGTCCAGCAGGTTTTGTAACTAACTATGAAATAATTCCAAAAGACCTGGAACAATTTATTAGGATCAGTTAAAGAAGGGTTTGATCAATTACATGATTTAGAATACAAATCAGAACATCTTTAGCCCTCACAGACCAGAAGTTCCTCATTGAACAGCTTACATGCTTGTTGGATGGGTAACATAAGCAAGTGCTTCTAATCTTTATCTAACAGGTGATTTAGTAGTGAGCCTAATGAGATTATAACTCTCCAGCACTAGGTTTAAAAACCCATGCTTTATAGCTTTTGTGTTGAGTGACCATTCAAAATACGTGTTGATCACAGGGTTGTCCCACACTTGATATTTATGTATATCACTTGTGTGCATTTAGTAATTAGTGCAATGGTGGGAGATAATTGTATTTTTGTTAGTGGAATGTTTGATGTGCATGTTATTTGGGTAAATATAAGTTTTATGCCAAAAGTTAAATTTGTGGCCTATAAGGTTTTATTACTGTGGATCAGATAGACTGGAGATGCCACATCCTTTCACGTGAACCAGCTGGTTGTGGTGGAAAAGGTCCATCCGCTAAACATTCACAGCAGTGCTAATTGTCATTTATAGAGGGGTGGGCAGTCTATAAATAATCCATAGTGGGCCGTGTTGTTTACTTCATCATTTTTCCCTCACGTTTAGATGTGTAAGTGAGGGCAGTGAGTTTAGAGAAGATAGTATGCCAAAGTGGTTTGAAACATTGCTCATATACAGTAGGTGTTGATACCCCTCACCCCCCTCTTCTTAATAATGACTGTGATATGGAGAAGCTTGCATGTGTACTGGTTCATACGGAATCTTAAAACCATTAATTGAATGTATTATCATGAAATAGCAATACAAGATCAGGACTTTCAGTTACAAAACCTAATTTTAGATGTTAAACATAAGGCAATTCATAAAATGACTTGAATAAAGCATTGCCTAATCAACATTTGATCAACATTGTTGTCAGTGAGCTCAGGTATGCTTGCATGCTGTTCATTGCATCTGTCTAAATTGTTTACGTAGCGTGATGCTGCCTGTACTATCGATTGTTAAGTCTGTGGAAATGTTTAATTGGATTTTATTTCCCCCTTTGTATCTCAGGCTGCCATTGATGCTGAACTTACAATGAAAGTGGACATTGTGAACATTGCACTACCAGAACAACGTGGAAGGCATCTAAAATAAAACTTTTTTTTTTCTAAAAAGTATGTTTTTAATGCTTTTTCTATAAAACAGAAAATAAATGTAGTGACATATTTGAAGCTATATTAAATCTTTAGGTCATGATTTGAAGTTTTAGCTGGGCTTAAAGCATACTCTGCTCACACATAGCTCCTTGTCCCAGAAAAGTATACAGACTGTCTTGATGTGTTTTTTTTCTTTCGTACTGCGGACAGGCAAATTTATGTGTATTATCCCATGTCTGAAAGAATGTGATCTGGTAGTAGTAATATCAAATCATAATAGTTTTGCTCAGGCCAGATTTGTAGTATTGGTGAAGAGATGCAGGATGATTCTAAAGTTTCCACCTTTTTATGAGATTAGGCTGAGGGTTATCCCTGGTGAATCCTGCTGGTGACACATTTTATGTGGTTATATTTAGTGTGTAGGTTACTGTACATTTCATTCCACTGAAACTTTGGGATTTGCTCATAAAGCCTGGATGAAATTAGGTTGGTCTGGGCAAATTAAGTTTCCAGACCACTGCCTATTGTTCTTCACATCAATATAGTGCACAGTAATATGTGTACGTCCTGACCCAGAGAGCATTCATTGGTAGTTTGAGAGGAAGTCAAGGCATCTATTCAAACTAAATACGTATTTCTGATTATATGTCATATTGAGTTTCGTATATACTTCTGAATTATCAATACTAAGTATTATTTTAATGTTTCATTTACAACAGTTGGCTGGTAAGATCAAATGTGGGTTGTTATCAGCTTGTACAGTGTACAGTATGTTCCACTTGTCTTTATTGATTCTTTATTATAGTTAGTGATGCCAGCAGCATACTAATGTTTACATTAAACATTTCGTCACATACGTTAAACATTATGTGGAAAAACATGCTTCCTTTCTTAATGGGTGGTTCTTCAACATGCACTGACAATGAACCAATACAACAAATATCATCAAGACAGAAAAATGCAGTCTTGGACTGGCCAAGTCAATTTCCAACTTTAAATACAATTAAGCATGTATTTTACATGATTGGGAAAAAAAAAATTAGTCAGAAGATCTCAGGAATAGGTGGGAACTCAAATGTTTCCTTCATAAAAGGATCTAAAATTATTACGCAGTATTTGGTTACATCATTTTACAGACATCATGCAGTGATTGATTCAAAGCCACATGCAACCAATATTCACTTTTACACTGAAATCTACATAAAGTGAGTGTGTTTCAGAACTAGTTATTACTTGAAATCACTGAGTTGAACCCAAAATGTTTTTGTCCTAATATAGTCACATATATATATACAGTATGAAATATCCAAAAGAAGAAATATGTATTGTACTGTACCTTTTAGTCTGTCTTCTTAATCTAATGCTTACAAATGCAAACTGTAAAGCAATAATGACAGTTTTGGCTTTACTGTCCCAATATTGTGGACATAACTCATGTTTTTGATTCCCTTAGTCTTGCTATAATTGTGCATTCATCATCAAAGTTTTGGTCTAAGAAGATATAAATCCTATTGCAATATATTATTGATTGGTTGCTATGTGTGATCTTGGAACCCTCAAGTACCAGACAGTTTCAGAAAGATATTATTTAAATATAATGCAAGACCCAGGCTATATAATGATGTCTCAGTGTATGACTCAATTACCCAGCTCAACAATTTAATGGTAGATTATCACGTTAGAGGGATATGATTGATGTTAGCATTTTCCATGGAAGTGTTTTCCGTCTGTGTGAGGCCCTTCTGATACTGGGGTTCTGAAATCTCAGTGATCAAGATGGGCACCAATGGATGGACTCAAGTCCTACAGCAAATAAAAATCTTTGAAGATTCAGTCTGTTGGCAGGCTATATTGAGTCGTGGTTTCACTGCTGTGAATCTGCAATTGAGCAATTGCAGGGGATCCCTGCCACTCAAAGTAATCTTAGTTCATCCAGACTTAAGATGGTTGCAGCATTATCACCTTGCTGAAGAGACCTTAATGCTAGAACCATTTTAAGTAACTTTTGAATGTATAACTTTTGAACTTATGCATTTATTTTCTGTTGTATGTTATATGTAGCCTACAAACAAGAATTTCAGTTCAGTTACTGATATTATGAGACAATGCGTGTAATGGTCATAACTTGAAAAGCTAATCAGATCTCATTGTTTGTTTGTTTTTGTTCTGTAATTTTATTAAAAGGAAAAAGCTAATAAACTACTGAACAACATGTGATGAAGCCAACCTTGTTTGGATTAAAAAGGGGTAAAAGGTGTTAGCCAGGTTCTTTATGAGAAAGATAAGTGATTTAGGCAATCTGTATGTTGCTTTGGTTTAAAAATGTAATCTATGGAATTGCTGCTTAGAGCCATATTATACTACCCAGCACTGGTGTAGTATAACCACTGGAGTGGCCAACAATCTGGCTGGTTTTATTGGTTACTGTTAAATTTATGATCAGCACTTTACAAACACTTAGAACAATTTCTTTGTGACCACTTCAGCAGGCTGTTTGGTCCATTAAGTTGTTTGGGGATCATTCCTGTAGTTCTCAATGACCACAGTTGACCATTTCTGACCAGCCAATTAAAATACTAAATTAATTAAATACCCCGTGTTCCACATCTTTACAAATTGACGATTTAAAGGTGACCTATAAAACTTGCTAGGCTAGACTGTGGCTGTCCATGACTCAGGTTGTCCTTTTTCCTGTACTATACGTTTATGTAATGCAGGATTCCCCAGTTCTAAGGGGTAGGTTATGTCTGCAGGTTTTCAATTCAGCTGTGCCCTGAGGGATCTAAATCATCTCAGGTTCTCACATTCTTGACTTTAGTGGGACAGTTTAGCGGCTGCTCCCAGTTCTTCAGTTGTTGCTTCTTTAAAGACTAAAATAATGCTGCTCCTCCAGGACCAACCAGGTTAGTGGTTAGTTTTGTGGCTACCCATTACATAATTACGGGTTTATTTTTCTGAACATTAATAATTAGAGTGTAGTCAAATAACACTCGCAGATTCTAAAAATTAATTCAGTAAGAGCGAACGAATTTTTGTATGACACAAATACACTGGTTAAATCGGGACGTTTTTAATAATAATCCAATAATTTGGATTTACCCCTCCGCTACGGAAGAGGGCGCATTCGTGTGGCAAGTTGAGGCACCAAGCGCATTGAGGAGGCGTCATAGCCATCCCAACCGGAAATGACGCATTCACTCTGCACAACGGCTGGTGGTGACATTTTAAAATAAGTAGAACAAGATACGGGAGGGAGGTAGTGGCTTTAAATAAATCAGGTTCTAATCTGTTATCTTCTGTATATAGGTAGCCAGTAAAATAGGCGATATAATATGATGTTAAGGAAGTCGGGCACGTAAAGAAATCACACTTTATATCCAGGTGAGTGCTTGCGCTCTTCCATTTTGTATTTTTTTTAATCGAGGGAAAGCCATCGAACAAGTGGAACAGCTCGGTGTTTAACTTCCCCCAGCCCCAATCAGGGGTGTGTGTTTAAGACTCCGTACCTTTCCCTCTTTCCTGTGAACTATATCGTGAAACTTGGGTTTCTGCCGTGTGCGACGCGTTTCTGTTTCTAGATGGAAGTTCAGTTGGAAGTGCACAATGATCCGTTGCGCGGTCTGGGAGTAGCGCAGGGTGCAGGGCCGCCTGGCTTGTGTTGCTGAACTGACAGAGGCTTTAAGGGTTGCGCTGAACACTGGAAGATGATATCCTTCCTTGTGTGACACAGTTCAGCCGGCCGGCCGACACGGGGTAGAAGTTCAGTTTCCGAGACGCGCTCTCCTCTCTCAGTTCGGTCTGTGGGTGGGCCTGGGGTTCTGCGGTCTTGACGGACGAGACGCTACCGACACGTCGGGGGTGCAGCAAACGCCGTTTCTCGTCTACACTTTGCATGAAGGCGAAGGAGCTGACGGAGGAAACCTCCGACCCGTGTTTGTAAAACGGCAAGTCCGGTATCGACCCGACGTTAATCGTAACCAGGGGCGCAGATAAATGCGATCAAATACCTTCCGAGTCGAACTAAGGGGAGTTTGAATTTAACACCCTGTTGGGATTTTCCCCAGTTGAAAATATTTCCCAAATTAACGTGTCGACAGCAGTTCAAGTAAATTGTAGGATGTGGATATCATCGGTGAGAAAGATCTGTAAGAAAACCAACAGGACCACGGTCGATCTTCAGAGATAAGCAGGGTATTATTATAAGTACAAAAGAGGTGAAATCAGAGCATGTGAAAATAGCCGGGGACAAAGTCACCAAAGGCAGATTTCTTAGGAATTTGTTTAACCAAATAACGATCATGATCAATTTTCAAGGGTGAGTTACTTGTAACTCATAGCCAGCTACAGAAAATTGATTACGGTTTTTAAAGTCACGCTAGTATTCTGCGGAGCTGAATTACCTTTAAAAATGTGAATTTGTAGTTCATATTAAAATTACGTGGTGATTTTTATTTCAATACTGCCGTTTAACTCATTTAATGACATTCAACCTTGGTAAGCTCGAAACATTACCTCAGATTTTTATTGTTCTGACCTTACTAGTTAGACTAGTTTCATCGGGTTAGGTCAGAAGGGGCGTGTTGCCACTTAAGTGAAATTGGTTTAGTGTGACCGTAGGTGTATACGTGAACTGTTATGATGTAAACATACGGACGAGTAGTGTTTGCGTCAGTGCACATGTAAGGGCTCACAATGCTCCACAAAATGACTTCTTTTGCTTTTAAGCCTGGCTTAATGTATTGTTTTTACAGTTTTGCATCTTGTTTGATTGTGTTTGAATTTTAAAACGCTTTTGAACGTGACGTTCTATTGATATCACGACCACCTGTTCTCTGTACTGTTTATGATTACAGAATTGGTTTGGTATTCATTTTGCTGGTTTTAGACCTCAGTTTTCATTGATTATCGCTGAGACTGCATTTGTATTTTGTAGTCTTTGTGCGCCTGTTTTCGTTCTGAGGAATTTAGTAACCAAGTCACACTGTCTTCATAACCAGAAAAATGTGTTTGCTTTGCGTCTGGGTTTAGGTCCTGGCTGCCGATGCGAGTGGTGAATGATTGCATCTTCATGTGCATTGCAGGTACACGCCTGTTCAGTCCTGTTCACGCAGCATTCCCCACTGCTGTATGTTCTGAGACCAGGGAAGTGGTTGGTGGGTTGGGTACTCAATTGAAATGAAGATGGCAGACACGGAGAAGCCGGAAGAGCTTGTGGATCCCGAGACGCCGCCAGAGGGCCCTGTGGAGAGGGCAGCAGCCCAAGGAGTGGCGGAGGACGAGGCCCTGAAGCCCGAGACATCCCCCTCGGAGAAGGAAGGCGACAGCCCCCTCCAGACAGACCCCGGCCTGCTGTCCTCCATGCCCTGCCTCCTGATGGAGCTCCGCAGGGACTCTCCCGAGTCCCAGCAGGCCTCCACCGAGAGCGAGAAGCCTATGTCGGGCCCCGCCTACGAGAGCGACTCCTCCAACCCCTGCATGCTCTCGCCTTCTTCCAGCGGCCACCTGGCCGACTCGGACACGCTCTCCTCGGGGGAAGAGAACGCGGGAGAGGGTGCGGGGGCGTCGGGCCCCGCCGAGGGAGGGGACCCGAGCGGGGGGGCGGGCGGCCAAGCGGCCGCGGGGGCCCGGAAATCGCGGCGGTTGCGGTCGGAGAGCGAGATGTCCACCAGCACCATGGCGGCGAAAAAGAACCGCTGGCAGGCCGCCGCCGCCGCCGGGGGCGACAAGCAGAACGGCCGGCTGGCCAAGGTCAAGGGCCACCGCAGCCAGAAGCACAAGGAGCGGATGCGCCTACTGAGGCAGAAGCGGGAAGCAGCCGCCAGGAAAAAGTACAACCTGCTGCAGGACAGCAGTACGAGCGACAGCGACCTGACTTGCGACTCCAGCACCAGCTCCTCGGACGATGACGAGGAGGTGTCGGGGAGCAGCAAGACAATCACTGCTGACATCCCAGGTATTTCCCAATGTCAAAGTGCTTCTGTGGCAGTTGTCTGGTTCAGGACTGCCTTTACACGAACACTTCCTTTTTTTAATGGCAAAGCAGCACACTGTGCTGATTGTATGAAACCTGTCACGTCTTTGCATTAATTTGCATAGATCTTTTTCTTGGGGCCCTGGACTTAAACAGAAATTGCCCTAAGCGAGTGCTGTTTTCACATTGAGATAAGTTTCCCCTCATATCTTGCTACTGCACATTATATTTATTTAAAGCAAACATGTAACTTACGTGTTCCCATATTGTGTAAACCCCCAAATTTTAGTAACTAGCATCAGATAAACAATATTCAGATGTGAGGAAAAATGTACAAGAAACTGTTGTCTTCCTGGAATTGGTTTAATGTAGTAGTATTCTCCAGGGTATGTAATACACATGCATTAGGGGTGCAGCGAATGAGATTCCCTCACTTCACCATTAGAGCCCTTTCCAATGTATAAAAGGGAATTTGAATGTGATTTTCTTTACATATGATGTTCTATATGTAGTATATCTAAACTCTGGGGGGGTATAAGTTGAGTGTGTTTTTGTATAGCTGTTAGCTGTCTTTGATACAGCTGCATTTATATGCCAAAAACTAATTATTGCAAAAAACAATGGAAAAGATCTATGTATGTGTTCATGAATTCATTCAAAGATAGGTTCACGCACTTTGAGGTATTCATATCTCTTAGAATGAATTAATAAGGGAAAGATTAATGTATTATTACCAGGTTGCATATATTTTTTAACAAATATTTTCTCTTGGTAATCTACTAACAACTTTTTTTTTATTTAAAGTATGACTATCAGACTTGCAGATGGAAATCTGAATACATTCATTTGACCTGTGAATGTTTACTGTAGACACAACCAGCATGGGTTGATGGTTTCAGAAGCATACTAAGGACTTGGTAGTAAATGTTGTAAGTGCCTATGAATAAGAAAAACAACATGCAAGAATAGTAGGCCAAGACTTAAGGTAAAATTTGGGATGACTTTTGAAGAGAAGATATTTTGCTCTGCACTTGCACTTAATGTTGCACTATCATACTTGACAGTTGAATCTGTTACGATGCTGAAGTGGTCTGAAGCAGGTGTACTTAGATATTGATAGTAGCCCTCCCTTTGTAGAAGGAGGAAAAGATTTTCCATCTCCCTTATTTATTGTTACTCCAATAAAAATAGGTTCAAATGTTTACATTTTCATTTCTATAACTGTACTTTGCAAGTAGTTAAATTTCTCAGTATTTGAAAGTAGATACAACATGAAGGGAGCCACTGAGGTTTCATTATTAGCAATAAAAATACAATTATAAAGCAGGAAATGCAGTCCAGCCAAAGTTGGGCTAGAAAAAAAGTGAGTGAGAAATACTAAAAAAAGTCAGATAAATGATTTACTTTTGGTGAACTGAATATTTGATCATTGTTTGTAATGCATAGGTTTATTATGACAGTGCTTTGAATTTTCTTTTTTATTCATAGCTTTTGAATGATTGGGGAACTTTACAGTCGGTGTTAATTTTACCTCTGGAGTTTGCAGCATGTCGGAGGAGGAAGAGCTTGACAGCGATATGTTTGGAGAATCATGTCTGCCCACCATTTTTCACAGGAGTTTTGTATGCTGAGATGTAAAGTAACAATTTGCACATCTAAATTGGGCCATTAAATTAAAAAAAGAACATTGTTGAAACAAGATTATATAGATTATATAACTGTTAATCCATGGTCATTACTAGAGAATTTACTAAGAACTGAAGTACTTTCCCAATCAGTTTGTTGATCAGGATAATAGCTTTCTTTCTGTAGCACGGGCAAAATTGTGAAAGTTACTGTCAGTAGCGTGTGGTCCCTATTGAAAGCAGTGCACACTGTGTATTGATGACATACTTATTACTAGGTTGCTGATGCTGTTTTGTGGAATTCTGTCCCATTTTTGGGTGGAACCTGGTTTGTGCATTTTCACAGGTCTCCGAGCCTTAGATGGACAAAGCATTGTCCCAGCTCTTCCCACAATTGTAATGGGGAAGCAACTGTGCCGACTGGCATAAATAGCACATCCTTATCCGTAATGAAAGTGGTTGTGTGAGCACGAGGATGTATGTTGTTCGTATGGAATGTGCCATGTCGGATGGAGCCCACAAGAATGACAGCAACTGAGGTCCTCGTAATTGATCAGTGTAGTGAAATTGCCATTTATCACTGCGAATGTAGCTGCTAAAGCACTACACACTCCTGCCCAGATATTCACAATTAACCCACTTATCTTTTGGTCTTTTTCTTTTTACACAATTAGCATTTCACATCTGAGCCTCACTTGCTGATTTCTATAAGGCTGGTCACCACAAATGTTTTGTCTCTAACAAGTACTTCTAGAGTTGTTGGCAAGTCCACCTGCTGTGTCTTAGTCTCATTTATTCCTTTCTATGTTTTTTTGTAATTTTTACCGGTCTTGATCGGATTTAACCAACTGTAGCCAGTCCTCTCTCACTAATTGAGGTGGCTTAGTGCCATAAGTTGAAGTAACTTAAATGTAGTCATGAGTTATCAATTAAATTGGTGTTAAATATCCAAACTCCATAAATGTATTTTTTATAACATCGTGCCTAAACCAGTTTATTTTGACGCTCAGTGGAAACAAAATGGTTAAGAAACCTATGCCCATTGAATTTTGCCAGCAATAAGTCATTCCTGAAACACTGTACCTCATGAAAGATGAAGCACACTCACGGCTATAATCTGAAGATATATAGGAGGAATACAGAAATGATTCAGGATTGTTTCACAGTTGATTGTGTTGTGGGCACTTCCTCCATGTCTCATCACAGCACATGTAACTCTTGTTGAATGGTATGTTGGGGTACAACAAAAGTACCTGAAGTTTATGAATGTAGATGTATTGTCATCCCAACATGGCAGAACTGAACACATTTGTGTTTACCAAGGGAAAATGAAAGCTAGTTTGCAGTACCTGTAATTATATCTGTAAACATGGTTTCTAGCTTGCAGGACCTATTTCACCTCTCTTATCATGGATGAGCAAGGCCGTGCAGCTCCACAGACCTGTCAGGAAAAGGAGGCAAGGCTCTGAGACAGAGTCTCTGCCGTGATTTAAGGATTTCACGCAGGAGCCAAGCTGCACAATGTGTGTGCCAGCTTATAAACATGGAAGGAAGTACTGGAAGGAGAAATGAGCTCCTGAAGTCATTTGCTGCATTATTAAAAGAAGCATTCAACACATGTATTTGAATTGATTCTCATTTGCATTTTTGTTAGTCTCTTTTTTTTTTTTGTAACAAAGGACAGACACCCTTTCTTAAGAGGAGCTGCTGTGTACTAAAAGCTAATAAAATGTGTTTGGGTATAACCATAGCATCAATAGCAACCATAAAGGCTCTATACAAGTTTACACATGTTGAAATATAAGCAAAAAGCTTATAATTCAAAGGTTTTTCTGCATGTTGCACATTTTTCTTAAATGCAAAGTTGTCTCCACCTTTTTTTTGTGGATTCTTGTAAGGTGCTACACTTAATATTTTTATTAATAAGCCAATAACTTAGCTCTCATTCTTCAGGCAGCACAGTCAGCACCTGTTCATAGGAACTAGGTCATAAATGTTGTCAATCATATTTATGCCTACTTCATCAGCACTTTTTCCCTACATGAGGAAACCGCAGGAAGCTTGGAACACTATAATATTATTAGTAACTACTGTTATGCTAAGATGGTTGAAGTTCAGTCAATTAAAAAATCTACACATGAATTTATGACCTTTTTTAACTCATTAAGATCTCAGCTAAATGGTCTGAATGTGAGGTGTCAAATCTAATTTTCAATAATAGGTGATAATTTCTTGAAAATTAAAGGCTGAGGAAACCGGCATATACATTGCCTCAAGTATTATAGCCGCAAGTCTGTATTAAATAAATGCATATAAATGTATATGTGTATTCAGTAGTTGGTGGTCTGTTGCATTTAAACCTTGAGGGCAATCAAGTCTAAGGAATTTTGGTTCTAAACCTATTAAGGGTCTTGATTACAGATCGAAACCCATTTCCAGCTATCAATATTTCAGATTTAGGAGCATGACCTTAAGAAATATCAAATGGAATTCATAATTACCATGAGAACTTTAAAGAAAACATTTAAACTGCAGACTGCATTCTAGCTTAGATATTTAGAACAAATCGTAGCAAAATCTTGCGTGTATAATTGAAGCAAAATATACATTTTGAATAACTGCTTACAGTGAGTCATACTCTGCAGAATATAGGAGCAAAGCAGAGAAAGGACTGTAGAAGGGATGCCAGCCATCACACAAAAGAATGCATCTGACAGACAATTCCTGGACTCAGATTAACTCAGACAAAATGTCCTGGGATAGGTAAAAACAAGATTACTCACTGAAACACCAGGCTCCCACATGGAAAATTCTATGCATTTTTCAATGATTCTTATTAAAAAGAATATTGACATGGGGAAAGCTGACTGCATCTTTAAAACTCTTAACAGCTCTTACGAAAATGCCCTTTTGTTACAGTTTTATCCAGAATGCACAGCTAATTCTTTGCTAAACGTGTTAGTTTCTTGTAATGGTTATCATACATCTTCTGCCGTGTAAGTGGGTCCTTATCAGTGGGATTGCAACAAAGGAACCTCTGTGTAGTGTTCAAACAGATTAGCCATAGTTGGGTAGAATGCTAGACGGAACATCTTTTGAATACAGGACCCGGCTCCTTCCATAGGTGTTGGGCTCTCGTCCCCAATTGTCATCAAACTGAAATTCATTCACCTACTTTTGACCTTACTCAGATTCCTACTTCTTCAGTAAACCTGAGGTGTTTGTGTTGCGGATGATGTGACGAGTGCTGCCTTATGTGCTGTTTCTTAAGATGCTAAACACCACATCTTGTGGTGAATTTTAAACATACTTTGCGATTCATCATTTACCAATACACTGATTTATGAGGATGCTATC